TTTTACTTTTCTCCTGGTTTTATTAGAATTGTAATTCAAGTAATTATTGAAAACATTATGCAGATTTCGTACATATTTTAATGCTCATGCTTTATGACTTTGGAAGTTACTTTGGTTCTAACATTGTTCTTCTCCCTCGATGCATTTTTAATCATTGTAAAGTAGTGTTAAGATTAAGAACACGACTAGATAAAATATTTTTCATCTTACGAGTGTTTTTTATGTTATATCCATTGCCATGCTTCATTTTTTTGGTTTTTTTTTATTATATATTTTTTTCATAATAAGATGTTAACCTCTCATCTGAATTCGCTTTGGCAGGTTCGTTTTCTGGCTAGGTCATTTGGTGTTCCAGGTAATCATCTTGGTCAGTAGAGCTATGGCTTCAGGTGGTCTTATGGTCCGGTAAGTCTGACACTCGATAAAAATTTTTTGAACAGATGCTCCTTATAGTTTATGTTTGTTCAAGTCCATTCTGAGGAAAGTAGTTGCCAATGCTTTTCTATTTTCTCACTCTCCATTACGTGTAGGCTTTCAGGGAAGCAACTGATCATAAAATCTATTTCAGATTGAAATGCTACTACGATGACAAGTACGATCGGGTTAAAGGCTTGTTGGTGAAAGAGGTAATATTATTTTGATGAGCTTCATAACTTGTCTCTTTATACCCAGACTCAGTGTCTGGAACATATTGGTACTGCAAATTTTGTTTTTCACATGTACAAATGGCGTTCCCCAAGGCTTTTGATTTTGCATTATCGATGCAAATTGTCATCACCAGAAGGTTAGGCTAGCTCATTTCCTCCGCCAAGCGGAAGGGAGTACGAGTACGCCGTTGATCATGGTCTCAAAGCCATCTTCACCCGAGACATCGTCGCTGCTTCTTTAACTAGAGAGGTAAGAATGTCCCAGCGTCTTTCCCGTCTTACCAGGATCTTGGCGTTCACAAGACAGTCACCTGATCAAACTGCTTGGCGCCGCTTCAGCGGAGATCTTGATCTGTCCACCTCCCGGAGGCACATTTGGTGTTGACTCTCTCATGTAGTGATTCAAAGGTACAATCTTGTGGTGAGTGTATTCTCTGCTCACAAAATTTGACATTACTTTAGGTCGTGACTCTTACATAAGGTTGATGATTTTCTATCTTCAATTCTTATTGGGCATGTGAAGGCTCGCTACCGGATTAATTAACTCTACCTGTCTATGATGGATGGGATAATTGAATTCTTTTCAAGTTGCTTTCTAGGCATTGTTGTGTGGGGTCTTGTATTTTTGCAATAGTAGGGATGGTTTGCTAATGGCAGAAGAAGACAAGGAGCTCAAAGTTAGACAAAATTATTTTATGGGACGAACATAGGTCATGGATTATACTCTTCATCAACTACAATTGCTAATATTAAGCAGCAGCTTCTTTCAGAGTGGCCTCAAGATTGTGCTTAGCCTAATATGTTGCATATATATTGTTTATTTTGTGTCAGTAGAAGATTACACCTGCTGCTATATGTTGCGTGTTTAGACTAATTATTAGCAATAATTATAGAAACTATTCTTAAATTTTGAAATTATCTTGTCAACTAAATTAACTAATATCTCCTTAAAAGTTTGTGATAAGCTTTATAATGTTCCACTCTTGCTGGGTAGTTTTTGTGATCTACACTAAATGTCATCAAATTGTCTGATGGGGTAGTTTTTGTGATCCACCAGTGTGCTGTGCCACAGGAACTTCCCGAACGACCAGACCTTACGCGGCCACCCGTCCTCGCTGTCATGTTGGCTGCTTGATTGGAGTGAAGAGTTCCACAACAAGTTGCAGAACCAAATTGGGGATGGCTAACATAAAATTCAATGGTTCCTGCGACCAGGTCTGTTTATGTGTGCTTGGCTGATGTTCGCTGTTGTATTTTTCGAGATCGATTTTGTGCCTGTGTGATGTAATTTGATATTGATGTGTTCATGTGTGTATGTTCATGATCTGTTTGTGTTTTCGTGACGATAATCAGGGATTTTCCGAAAACATAAGGGAAAAATATGTTGGGGCTTATAAGGCAAAGACCAGCCTGCAAAGGCTATCGTGCTTTGGTAATATGGCGGTTTCTAAGTTTTATGTACTTTTTCTGATTTGATTATCTCAATTGAGTTGTGGTTTTAACCGGGTTGTTAAATTCTTTGTTTTTTTTTCCTTTTTTTTTTCTATTTCCTTGTTGGCTTCATAGAGTTTGGAACAAGGAATTCGGTCGATTGCGTTAAGGACCTTTTCTTCCTCTGCAAAGGAGGTAATGACAATATATCGTAGTTGGAAATTTTGTTTCATGTAGATTTGTGTTTATGTGGTGGAAAACATTAGATGTGCCTAAATTACATGAAAAATCTGTGCTTCTTGCCTGTTGGACCTTTAGATTTGTATTTGATGTCGATATATGTTTGCATGGTGGGAAACAATAGATATGGCTAAATTACCTGAAAATATTGTGCTTCTTGGGCCTTTGGATTTGAAGCGCATTTTTATGGTGTTTGAATTCTCCCATGATCTTATACGCTGATTTGTCGCCACAAGCTCAAGGGAAGGGGTAGGCTTCAAGGACATAAAGTCACTCTTACCCCTTATTGCTTGATACCCTATTATTCACTACCCAACAAGCAAGAGCTATTCTGCTGTTTCGTAAGAGAACTTTCTATGTGCGATTTGGGATTCGGGGGTGGATTAGGAAGCATAAGTTATATGTAAAGATGGCTTCAAAGTTTTAGGCTTGAGTGATAGACTGATAGAGTACAAGAATCAATAGAGGCACCTCATATTTTCACTTTAGGCCTTTGAAAATAATTTATGATTTATCTATTACATGTTACATGTACTCTGTTGTGGTGAAGTTATGTTTTCCATTGCCATTTGTTGTAGACGACGCTGCGTGATGCTTTAAATTCAACACTTGACGAAGAAATGTCTGCTGATCCCAAAGTTTTTCTAATGGGGGAAGAGGTACTGTGGAAATATCAAAATTCTATTGATGGAATAAGGCTATCTCTTATGCATTTTGTTTTTGAATGGCATTATATATGTTGACTTATTTAGTGCTCATATATAGGTCGGTGAGTATCAGGGTGCTTACAAGGTGAGTTTTAGTTCAACTGCAACCTCCATGCGATAATGAAATATTTGTATGGCAAACTAGATTTAATTTAAAATATTTTCATTAGATCTCCAAAGGGCTGCTGAACAAATATGGTCCTGAGAGGGTCCGTTGAGGTTAGCTTTGGTCTTTTACTTGTGATTAATTTCTGAGTTATGTGGTAAAACATGGTGCTGAACCATTTATTTCTCCTCTAGGCTGGATTTGCTGGAATTGGAGTTGGTGCTGCTTATTATGGATTGAAACCTGTGGTAGAGTTTATGACTTTTAACTTCTCCATGCAGGTTTGATTTCTTTCCCTCAGATTCAATGTTTGGCTTTTGGTTGGACCTTTAGACACATTTCCTTTTCATCGATGAATTCAATTTCCCGAACCAATGGCGAGTCGAGCTATGAAGACAAGTTCGCCGGAGAACTTCAAGAAGCAGACCGGCTTGGCATCCTTCCATGGCGTTGGCTCTCAGTTTTTCATCAAGATCTACTTCATATTGTTGAGTTAATAACAAAGGGTTCTATTCCGGAGAAAATGATTTCTCGATGGTGATGGAAGTTGGATTCCAGTTTTTTTTTTTGTTCCTTTTTCTTCATGGATTTTGAAAATTATTAGAGTATGATTCAAAGAAGTTACTCAAGGAGCATAAGAAGTGATTGTTTGGTATTGACCAATAATTGCAAGTGATGGCAAATTACACTATAATTTAGACTAAATTTGATTCGGCCATGTCTGTATATAACTCTCTACAACAAGTGTTTTATCTCATTTATGTTTCGACTACAAACATAAATCAGTGTTTTCGACTGATCGTTGCAAGTGGTGACAAATTTTCACTATATTTTTAGACTAAATTTGAGTCCGCGGTGCGTGCACGGCGTGGGACTACTAGTCTCCACTATACATATAAGAAGACATTGAGGACCAATTGTGGGCTTGACACGTGTCTTTTTGTGTAAAAAATGTCTTTCCTTTTATCATGTATTTACAGCTTTGCCACCCCTTTGTTAGCCACCACGTGGCATCATTCTTTGTTCTCAATTTGAGCTTAAACGACGTCGTTCGAGATCTTTTTGGCTTTCCTTTTTTAACCTCCAGATCATAGCTCAAACTTATTTAAAAAATAAAAATATTGAAGCTATTTACGTCATTCAAAATGACAGCCTTTTTCCTGCTCGGCGGAGTTTACGCCACACGCAATTGATTTTTTCTTTCAATCTACATCAATCTTGCTTGAATCTTTTGATACTAAAGAGGAAAAAAAATAAAAAACCTAGGCATTTCACTTTCTTTCTTCTCCTTCCTTTTCCCTTTCAATATAATCGTCCGCTATCGCAATGTTCGGTGAAGCAGTAGGCTGTTACACCTTCCGTTATTAGCGTCTGTTGGACTCTGCCACCACTGACCCTTCGTTTTCGTCGTCAGTGGCGACTGTTGTGTCGGTTTGAGGCCTAAGTTCTTCATCCGCGGGCCGCTCTCCATCTTTTAGTGACCTATGCGCTACAGGCGGTCAAGGCGGAAGATGAAGTTAGATCGGTAGCAGGCTTCCGTCTAATCATACTGTACCTGCGATGTAACACCTCGCTTAATTATTCTAGAATTTATAAAATCAGAGTAAAATTTTTGTTTTTTATTTTCGAAAAAACTCTTTAACTTTATTTTCGAAAATACTCATACTAACTCGCGGGATGCTACTAACTTAAACTCTTTCTCATGCAGACTTAAATAAAAACATGCAACCTAATCAAATCCGTTATATATAGGTACCACGGAGATAAAGGCATTAAACATGCATAAGTATGATAATCTCATAATACATACTAAGTCTGAAAAGTGCGGAAGCTGAAACATAGTATGTCTACGCATAGTAATAATAATACATGTTCAATGAATGACATGTAAATGCGTTACAAAAGAAATGACCACGACCACAGTTGAAATCTCACGCGCCACGCGCCGCTCCGTCACCTGAAAAACGTAATAGGGGCGTGAGCAAAACCACTATGCTCCGCAAAGACCAGTACTTAATTATACAACATCGTTAATAACAATATCATGACTTTAAGTATATAAGAACTGATCTGAACTGAAACTGTAACTGGGTCATCTGGTGGTCATAAAGACCCTGGGCTTAAAAGCCAATCATGTGCACACTCGGGGGATCATTAAGGCCAATTAAGGCCTCCCTCAGAACCACGGGGGGTCTTTAAGACCCGCCACGGCCTCCCTCATGGTGAACTAACTATTTCTCATACATACCTCGGACATGGTACGAAAATTAAAGACGATGTATAGCCAGTACGTGACCTCCACCGATAAGCTGCTACTGCTAGGCAAGTGCTGGATGACTGGTAGCTGTCGGAGGCTCGACTCTCCTTAAGCTACACAATTATTTGAGCAAAATGTACTGAGTACTAAGCTCAAACTGAAAACTTGATTCTTATTATTATCTGATCTTACTAAGTCCTCTCACTCGATTATAAAATCATTTAATCTGAATTTAGAGACTTGAGCTATTTTGGAAGGATTTGTTGACTTTGAGGCATTCTAGAGTTCTTTGAAATATTTCTACGTCTGGTCTGCTTATCTGATTTATCTGATTCAACTTATCTGACTAATCTGATCTGATCGGACTTATCTTATTCTGATCTGACTTATCTGGCTGAGTTCGGAAAAATACTGAATCTCGGTTCACGCTCAAACTGGTATTCCGAACTGCTATTCTCGAATCGTCCAGACTATCCGGACTGATTCGACTGAACTGGACTGGCGGCTCGATCTGAGCAGGCCGGTTGCTCATCTGACTAGGTGCAACTCGGCTTAACCGTGGTCCGGGTACATACGCACAGACACGACATCAGCCACCGCCCAACTTTTTCTACTCGGATCTAGAGTTCATCCGGACTGACCGGGAAAGGGCCAAACTAGGGTTCTCTACTCAACTGGCTATCTGTCTCGGTTCAAGCCGAAACTCAAACTCTAAGTTCAACGTGATTTTCTAGTGATTTTAGGTCCAACAACTGCAACTAAATTTTCAACTAGCATAATATCTACCATTTTTAATAAAAGCAGCTAAAGCCCCAAATTATTAGGTATATCAAACAATCTCCAAAATTTACGAAATTTCAAACATATCACATTTAGTATTTATAAGATTTTTCCATAAAATTTCAACGCATTTCGAGGCCTTTAGCATTTTTCCAAAAACCGAGCATTTTGACTACATACTAAATAAATCCGGATAAAATAGTAAACGGACACCAAAAATCACAAAAATTAAAATATAAAGATCTTTGTGGGCTTCGCGAGCAGATCCGGCCGTGGACGTGAGCTGGACCCTTATGGACTGTAGCTGCTTGGACCTGCTAGCTGAGGAGTTCGGTTTTTTCTACTGGAAATGGACAGGAAACAAGATGGAAAAAGTGCTCGTCGCCGGAGATGAAGCTGCGCACGGAGCTTGGATGGTGGCGAGCTCGGGCAGAGATATAGGGTTCAGGGACGAGCTGGGTTTCTGGCAGCTAGGTCGCGGGAAAACAGAGCCGAGGACGAGCTCGTTGCCGGCGGGGAGAGCTGCGGGTTCGAGCTTCGCCGGCGGGAAGAGCTGGGCGCGGCTGAGGGCTTTTTCCGACGCGAAACCGAGCTGACCGCGAGCTAGGAGGCCGAAACCAAGCTGAAATGACGCGTGCAGATGAGCAGTAGGTGGGATTCGTGACTTTCCGGCGGTTCTTGGGGCTGCGGGATGGTGCCTCCGTCGGAACAGTGGTGGACCTACGATTTTTCTGGCGGGGCTGAGAGGTGCGAGCTTGGAGCTGAGCTTGGGCTCATGAAGGAGAGCTGCGCGCACAGGAATGGCGGCGGCTCGCCGGATTTTCTGGTGGCTGGCCGGGTTTGAGTGGTGATGGTGTGTTGAAGAAGCTTTGAAGAAGAAGAAGCTTGATGGTGAAGAAGATGAAGATGGGGTTTTCTCTCTCTCTCTCTCTCTCTCTCTCTCTCTCTCTCTCTCGCTCTCTCTCTCTCTTGAGTTGAAATGAAGATAAGATGTGTGTGGAGGAAATGAGTGAAGGGAATCTTCTATTTATAGATGAGAAAAAAGCTAGGGTTTCTTCTTGATTTGGGCTTTAAAAATCGGGCCCAATCGACTTGGTCTCGATTATTAAATACTACTCGGGCTCGAAGTATTTAATATGCTATTCGGGTTCGGAATTTAAATCCGACTACTTAAATAAATTCGGCTAGAATTTAAAATGTCTCGATTTAAAACTAGTTGGGCCCAATAAGATAATTGGGCTTGTTCAGGAATTAAATAATTTCCAAATTTTACTACTACTCGATAAAAACAATAATTAATCGAGTCTCAAACTTAGGATTTTATATCACGTTTCCAAAATAATAAATCGAGCGCTCTCTTATGGCTTAGACTTGAAGTTAAATAAATTATGCAATTAATACTAATAATTCTAGGCATAATTTATAATATTACTAATTCTGATATATAAAGTCGAGCTAAATATATTATTTTTGGGCCGGGGCTTACAATCTATCCTCCTTAAAACATTTCTGTCCCCAGAAATGACAACACTAAACATAAAGTCAACTCGACTAAAGCTAGAAACTGAAAAATACATAGTACGATACTAATCAGAACTGAAAATCTGAATATCTAGCTTGAATTTGGTCTCCTTCTTATTAGTGATCTTGGCTTTGCCATGGCAACTCCGGCTTCAAGCCCCCAGGTAAATCTGGATTAGTGACTCTTATTTCAAGCCTCCATAATTTACCCGACTTTTGACTATTATACACCGTTAACCCAAGTTCAAGAACTGAGGGTTTCTATCTGGATACTGTATAGGTCTGCTCCGGTCATAAACCGGTCTCACTGGTACTAACTAGTTCGCCATGGCGGTTCGCCAAAATTTACTACGTGCCTTAGATAAATCCAAGACAAAACTTTTAGAAACTACACTTAGGAACCTCAAAGAGACTCATCTATTCTCTTAGTGGTATCGCCCTATCTATGGCGATACTCTTGAACATAGAGAGACCTACTTCTCGGCCCTCTGACTAGCGTACCCTCCGTCACAAGGTGGTCGTAAGTAATATCTCACGTGTCAACTAGGATCAACGTGAGACTCGTCTAAGTTTTCCACGTGTTCGAGCACGAGTACTACTCCTCAAACTCGAGGCGTGGAGATACCATTTAACATTTTCTAAAAATTTCGGCGGTAAGGCCCAAAACAATAGGCTTAGCCCACTATCTCGGCTATATGTTGGAAAATGGCTAGGGTAACTAAGCTGTAG